CACATGTGTGTTTGTGTGTGTGTGGATCAAGATACTAATAGTTACATCAAGATATCTGAGATACCTGAAAAATTTTACTCCATTTCACCTCTTTACCAAGATGTCTGGTATCATATTAATAGCTTTCTGTAGTTCTCACTTTGCTACAGAATCATTTTTCAAGATATATCCTTTGATGTACTTTTAAGACATTTAAGGTCATCTGCAGCGAATAAGCAAACAATAACTTATTTTTAATATTCATATATGTCTGTGTATGTTTGTTACTTTTGTTTAACTTGAGACTCTATATTAAAAGAGCAGTTGCAAAAAGAATATCTCAAATATAGAATCTTCCTTTTAAGATATAAAAGCTTTTTAAGATTAGAATAATCCTAATATATGAGGCAATTCAAATAAAATCACAATAGAAAAAGAAGCTTGGGACAAATAAAGAAAGTTTCTATCATACAGTATAAATGTTATCTTTAGAAGAAAAATCGAAAGACCGTTAGTATTATAGAGGGTGGAGCTGGTAGGGAGTCAGAAATTGAGGTCATAATTATAGTTGGATGTTTCCAGGATGCCGGGTCATTCTACACCAGAAAGAAAATGTGCTTTTGCCTCATAACAACCTTTTCTTTTGTAAACTTTGTCAGACATCATAATCATTTTGTATTTTTCCAAACTTTAACTGACATATGTAGCTCAAAAGACAGTAGCTTTTAAATAATAGTTTTCCTGGCCCTTTTTCATCTCCTCCCCTTTTAGAACCTTAAAGAATATCTCTAGTGTATGTAGAAGTTGTTACAATTACACCACTCTGGATTCCTTTGGCAAAGCCATCATCAAGCTTTCAATATTAAGTATCAGGATGGAGTTGGAAATGAAATCAATTTCCTGACTGTCTCTACTACACACAGGAATGTTTTTCTCAAACTGCGATTGCAGCACATTAATAGATCATGACAATAATTTGGCGGATCGTGACCAGCAGTTTCTCAATGAAACAGAACAGAAAATAGAAAAATATCAGAAACCACACACACAGTACATTTTATGAAACTTCTAAGTAAAACTATGTATTTTTTATTTATTTATTTATATGTGTGTGGATCTGCACTGGGTCTCAAAATTTTAATTTTTTTTTAATTTTTGAAAGCCATTAATATATGATGGCTGAAGAGACAGTATTTATAGTTCAACAGATATCTTTGAAAAGAGAAATTTAAAATTCTCAGCACTTTTTTTCCCTTACAATACAAACAAGAAGCACTAAATTTAAACCTTTATTATTAAAGCTTTACTGATACATTTCTGGAATGGAGCATTTAGATTACAATAGAAGAGCAAATTTCGGCCTAGCTGTCTATAATAATAAAAGCATAATATGCTAATTAGACTGGACGTCCTTCCGGACCACCTTCCGGATGAAGCCAGGGCTGTGAGGGAAGCCTGAGTCCTAGGTGCCAGAGGGAAGCCAGTGCTGGCAGCCGGGGAAGGAAGGCCTACTCATGCATGAACTTCATGCATCGGGCCTCTAGTGTTCAATAAATGTTTACCTTTTCTTTATACTTCTTCAGTACTAATATATGCCAAATCTCAGCCCCTGAAAGAACAGTGGATAAGTTAATAATCGCCTAGGATTGACTGAAAATTATGTCTGTCTACTGTCTTCAAGCAGAAAGATGCTCCTGTTTGTGCAGTTCTTTTCCCTTGGACTACTTGGAACACCTCTTCCACTTGCCTGCCTCTGAAGTAGGGAGCTTACCCAAGGCCTCCTGCCTTTACCTTTTTGAGAGTTCTTAGAGTTCACCTCTCTTGAGAATCTCTCTGATAATAGCACACAAGAATTTCACTTTCTAACATTCCAAGAACACCTGACTTAGGAATGTAGACATTAAGTTCACCCCTCTTCTCACGGCAATGTCTTCATGGTGTTCCTGGTGCCCTACTTCTCCTTACCTGGGTTATTGCTCTGTTCCATGCAAATTAATTCCTGAGAGGTGGTAATTCTCGGCTGTTTATCTCCACTCCTAACTTCTGGCCTAAGATTCTGGCCACTGATTCTACAGGCTGATGTGGGCTCTATAGGCAGAGGAGAATATGAATACTTTCTACTTTATTATTCTATATCTTCGTCCCTTTACCGTTGCTTTTTCATTCCTTAACAGTCTATCATGTGGCTGATAATCCATTCATTCCTAGCAACACTTTCTCGTATGAAATGATTGATTTCCTAACTTCACTTTTCATTTATGTGAATGTACTTTGTAATCCTAACATTTTGATTTTAACCTTCAATTTTACTTCCTCCAAACTAACATCTCACACTTAAAAAAAAAAAAATTGCCACAAAATCCAACTGCAGCTTAAATCAAAGAACTCTCCTCATCTGTCTAGAGAAGCCTCAGGAACTTACTCTCCTGCTGTTTATTATCCTTCCAGGTTTCTTTCACTGTTCCACACCAACTTTTCCTCCAAATATATCTTAATCAATGAATTTTAAATAACTAGTAACCCTGTAATCTAACTGAGGAACAAATGTATCTTGCTCTGATAAAGTATATCTCTCCAGCAATGATATTCTGTCCTCTCTCTGACAATACTGTATATCACTAGCAGCCATCCAGCAACCAGAGTTCTCAGCACTGCCCTCCAATTTATCAGAGACATCCATTTCCTTTTCTATGATGTTCTACTCGGTAAAGAGCCCATGTTTTGACCATTTCCCTTTCTACCTATCAAAACTTACCTATTCTGTGGTCATTTTTTCCTCAACTAGATGTTCCCCTGCAAAGGACTGATAAACTCAACTTACATAATGCTAATAATTAATAGCCGTTTCATGGATTTACGTTCCCAAGGGGGCTTCATTTTAATAAGGACTTCTGAAGATACCTGACAGACCTGATAAGGAAATCTGAGAAATCTAAAAGCCATTCTGGTCCCCAAAGTCATGAGGGACCACATCTATTGTATGTTTAACACACGCCTTGCTGGGAAAAGTTTCTGGAACCTCCTCCACTTGACCAAGTTATTTAACCTCTCTGAGCTTCATGTAATAGGGAAAACATAAACAGCTAACATCATTGAACACATTATAGAGCACTGTGCTAAGTGCTTCACATATAACCACAAGACACATTTTACAGATGAAGAAATTAAATTTAGAGCTAGCATAGTAAATTGCAGAACCGAGACTCTCATTTCTTAAGACAATAAATAAAGGAATGTATAGAAAGTTCCTGGCAAACAGTATGACCTCAAAAAAATGGTAGCTATATTGCATTATTAGAAGGCAATGATTAATAGGCACAATACAAAAACTCACTATCAAGTTATTCCTATCATAGACTTCCCTGGGGCAAACTCTCTTCGTGTCCATATCTATAAAATTAATCCCCGTTACCTAACGTACTCCATAGGGTTGCTATAAGGATTAAATGGTATTATAAAAATAAAAATGCTATGAAAAAAATGTTTAAGAGTTATTCAAATATATGAGATTGTCTTTAGAAATGTCTTCTGGATTAACATGTCTCTCTAAAGAGAGCTAAAAATAACTTGTTAAATGGGCAACCACTATATTAAAAAGTGTAAGTCAACATGGAATGGTGATATGTGCCACCACACCTAGCTCTGACCCCTTGCTTTCTCTAATATCCCTGCAAGGGCAGGGGCTGTCTTTCACCTGTAATGAAATTCTGATACTAAAGGATAGCTAATCAGTAGAGAGAGCTACCACTTCAATTCAGAGTTGTTCAAGTTGGTCTTACAGTGCTTGCTGGCTCAGTCCTTCCAAGACAAAAAAAAAAGAAAAAGAAAAAAAAATACTACAGTTTCCTCCTACAGTATTAAAACTAGGTGCCCAATCAATACTAGAATTCAGACACTTTACAAAACGTCAGAAAAGAATTTATCAAGGACTCTGTCTGATAGGAGGTCTCTTTTGCAAACCTGTCCACAACCCCCTTTTACACCTGAACAGATGGTCTCCAGGCCTCAAGGCTCAGATGTCCATGCACCCTGTTCACAATAGCTCACAAAGTTCCAACCTCTTAATTATTTCATGTTCCTGAATACACCAACCATGTTCCATCTAAAGATTTCTAGGTATCAAAACACTCAAACTCTTTCATCTTCATAACACTACCTAGGAGAGAAATTAGTAGCCTTGTTTTATAAACTAAAAAACGGAAGTTAACTATTTTATTCAACAGCAGTTAGTTGACTGATTCATTCTTGGGGGCGGGAAAGAAATACACATTAAGGATTTAAATCAATGGATAACCTTGATTTAGCTTCCTAAGGTCATTTCACATATTAGTTCAAACTACGGTATCCTCTTACACTTCCAACGAATCCAAGATTTAATATGAATTAACAGTAAATACCCAAGAATCACTATTTTAACATGCAAAAAAAAAAAAAAAAAACCCACTATATGGGGGAGGGGTCCTAACTTAAGATTAGAATCGCATCCATAAATACTTTTGAACTTGAGGGGTAGGGGAGGGACACCTGTCAGCGCAGCGTATCCACGGTAAGTTTGGCAAACGGTGTAGCTATTAATATTTAACTCCTTGAACTGTACATAAACCACCCGCTTCTCAAAAAAAAAAAAAAAAAAGGCAATATACTGTGAGAAACATTTGACAAGGAAACCTACATGGCTGTGAGGAGCCCCGGAACGTCCTAGTGTGACGCCTCCCTGGCTTCGTGAATCTGCCACGAGGAAAACTCGGCGCGTCCCGGGAGCCCAGCCGCCGCCGGGCGCCCGGCGCTGCCCACCTCCGGCCACGAGCCAGGCCCTGCGGCCCGGGGCCCGGGGCCCCGCCTCCCCCGAGCCCCCGAGCCCCCGAGCCCCGCGGACAGACCAGGCCCGGCACTCGGGGGGGCCCCCCCGCTCCGCCGCCAGCGCGCCCGGTCCCCGCCCCGCAGGCGGGGAGGGTGTCCCGGAGCCGCCGGGCCTAGCGGGCGCCGCCTCCCTCCCGCTCCCCGCCGCCCGCACTCGTTACCTCTTGGGCGCCGGCGGCTGCTCCATGGCGGCCCGGGACGCAGGAGGGGCCTGGTGGGCGGCGAAGGCCGGACGGAAGGAAAGGAGCCGGGGCACCCGCCGGCCGGGCCCGGGGATCCGCAGAGGGAAACTCCAGGAACTCGGAACAACTTTCCCGTAACTCCACGGCGGATCCCCCTCCCGCCCCGGAGCGTGGCTCCTCCCGCCCCGCCCCGCCCCGCCCCGCGGCCGCTGCGGTCCAGGATTGGTGGGCGGAGCCTGCCGGGTCCAGGATTGGTGGGCGGAGCTTGCCGCGGTCCAGGATTGGTGGGCGGGGCCTGCCGCGGTCCAGGGAGGGGTGAGCGGGGACTGCCGCGGTCCAGGGCGGGTGGGCGGGGCCTACCGGGTTGATGGGCGGAGCCTGCCGCAGTCAAGCCGAGCTGAGCAAAGCCAGGCATTGGGTAGGGTGGGCGGTGTCAGGGTCGAGGGCGGGGCCGGCCTGGCTGCAGCGAGTGAGAAGGGCGGGAATAGGAATGGGTACTGGAAGAGCGAGAGGGCAAGGCCTAGGCAGGACCTAAAGCCTCCCTATGCCAAGGGTACTTTCCTTTGAGCTGGGGATCCTCATTTGCCTTCCTTTTTTTTTTTTTTGCCCCAATATAGTTAGAGTCATTTCTTTAGATTTCCCAAGGTTACATCCCAAGCATCTTGTGCATGCGTTTGAAGTACTACGCACTGCCCACGCTTCCCTCTCTAGTTCTGTTTATAATTATTGGTTATGTTTTCTCCCAGCCATTTGACATTTGTAGCTACACTACAAGGGGTGCTTCTGGAAATTCTTGTTTGATTTGATTGTGGACAAGCTCCTCATTACATTTCACGATAATTATGTCTAATTACAAAGAAAATAGTGACTGCAGTGACATCGTGCAGTGTACAGGATTCGGTGCGCTGTGGTCTTGTTCAACAGGGTAACCTGGCAAACTAGACGATTGTGGTGCATAAAAAAGTATTCAAGAAATGTTTGTTTCCTTCTTTCTTGCCACCCCCTCTCTCCAACCTGTTCCATTGTCATTTGACCCCTTCATCCATCTCTATTGTGTGTATACCATTACCTTAAATTCTGTCTACAGATATCTTTCTTATAACCATATATAGCTGCTATGTAACAACTTTAAGTTTTGACAGAAATTGTCAAGCTGTAGTATCGTGTAGTTTTTGGAGACTAGAACAGCCTCCTTTGCGATTGGAATTGGCCATGTGGCTGAATTCTGATTAATAATGTGTAGGCATACATGTGTGGGGCGTTTCTTGAGAATCTTCCTTAAGAAACAACTGATAAGTTTTATTAGCTAGTTCTCAATAGCATAAAGCAGCAATTATTTTATTCTCATGTGTCTCTGGGAGGCTGCTGTGTTCTACAGTCGTTCACCAGGGGCCAGGATGAAGCAAATGTGGGAATCAATTGTTTTCCAAATTAGATATCCATGGCTTCAAAGTCCTGAAACAATTTTTGGATCCCCTGTCTCATTGCTTCGGCTTTCTCCATTGAATTTCCCTGGCCAATTCCCCTTCTACTAAATAAAACAAACTCTCCCACTTTCCTGTACAAAGAAATTTATTTCTCTCTAATTCAAACTGCTAAACTCAAGCTTTGGTGTCAGTTTAACCAAACTGACCAAAAAAAATCCCCCCCTTCCAAAAAAAAATCATTTTATGTACTTTAGACATTTGCCGCAATAACAACTCAAAATCTCCAAAGCTTCCAAACATAAGCATTCATTTGTTGTTCATGGTATCTGTGAGTGGTTGCAACTTTGCTCTCTGAGTCTTACTCTAGGGCCCAGACTGGAAGGAGTAGCTGCCGTTAGGAACATGTGTTTCTCCGGGTAGAGAAAAAAGCAAACAAGTTACTAGCAGAAATCCGCACTACCTCTTAAAGCTTCTGCCTAGAACTAACACATTGTCACTTCTCATCTTCCATTGACCCAAATGTCAGGGCTAATTCAGAAAATGGGATGGGAAAGTCTCTTCATCGACTCTTTATAGAGAAGAGAACAGCTGGAAACATTAACACAATCCATGACAATGTAAGAAGAGTCACTTTTCTTGTAACTAATGATGAACAGCAACTTTATTCCTTCCCTTCCCCTTTATCATGATCAAGATGGGTGGATAGCAATGTTTCTGGGGGTAATGAGTTGGAGTGTGGGATGGTGTGTATTTTAAAATCTGGAACCCTGGTTAGGTGGCTCAGTTGGTTGGGGCATCATGCTATACTCCAAAAGGTTGCAGGTTCAATTCCTGGTCAGGGCACATTCTAGATTGAGGGTTTGATCCCTGGTTGGGGTACATTCAGGAGGAAACCAATCGCTGTTTCTCTCTCCCCTTGATATTTCTCTTCTCCCTTCCTTTTTCTAAAATCAATAAATACATGCTTGGATGAATATTTTTTTTAAATCTAGAATGTTGTTTTTTAAAAAAATATGTATGACCTCTCTACCCTAACCTCCACCATCTTCTGACTTGTCCCTGGGTGCAGGGGCAGCTGTGTACATTTTGCAAAGGATCGTCAAGTAATTTCAATACTTCCCACCTTTGACCCTTTTGAGACCGTTAGAAAATGGGTTTGGGGAGAATGCTCTTATCATATTTTGTCCCTACCATTCCTGGCATTTTAAGTACAGTGAGTCCTCCAATTCTTCACGAAGCAACGAGCACATAAAAGACATGAACAGGCAATAACATTGGCCTCAGATATTTGGCCAGGACTCTTTTTTTTTTTTTTTTTTTTTTTTTTTTTTTTGCCAATAGAAGGTTATTACATTGCAATGGTTGCAGGACTTGTTACTTTAAATAAAGAAGAAACTATTGCTGAAATTTTTTGTGGGACTATATTTTGAAAGCACTCAACCAAGAAGAGTGGACATAATTTTAGATTAGGCTGTATTTGTCCATGTGGATGAGTGGATACACTTACCAGAAGTGCTACATTCAAAAGTGCTGGCTGAAGAAGCAGTTGGGTGTGTAAACTGGGCTGGATAAGGCAAATCAGGCCCCCAACACTGGCCCTCATTAAAGAAAGTGAAGATGCCAAAAATCCCTTGGCATACACACAGGGAGGAAAGAAAGACTCCTTGAGATAGGAATGCTGGACGAGATCCATTGTGAGTATCCTGCTTGTATACCCATAACTTGCCCCAAGAAGGACTGGAATGACTATCCCTTCTTCAAGGCCTTTAGACCCGAACTGCTGAGGGAAATTCCAGCATCTTAACAAAAAAAAGAAAAAAGCTTTCACTATTTTCTGAATGTTGGAAATTGTTGGTGGGAAATGTTGCAATTAAAATGTGTTCCCTAGTTTAAATTAGGAAAGGAGAATCTTGGGATCACCGGGTGAGAAAGCCTCCCTGGACAATCAAAGGCAAACTGTGCATAATAATAGGCAAGAACACCAGTGTGATAATGAGATGATCTCACTCTAAGACATCTCTGGCTATGCCTATCTGAGCATAGGGTTCCCACTAAAGTCTTACTTGATTTGTATGACTAACATGCCCTAAGTGTGATGAGTTGCCTGACCTGAGTCAACACAATAGAGAGTCATGACGCCTCATACTATTTCCACAGTTGAACCTATAGATCTACAGCATCCTGCTTAAAGGGAAGACTGGGTACCATGTAGAACAGTAAATGTTCTTTTTTTTTTTTTTTTTTTTTTTTTTTTTTTACTATTATGCCTAGATATTCCTAAAGATCATTTAATAGCATAACTGTGGCCTGGAATGAGATAAATAATAAAGGCTTTTTGGAAACCTTTGGGTACTAGCTCTGAGCTAGTAGTAATTTCTGGCATAAAGAAATCCACTGAGACCTGCCTATCAGAGTAAGGGCTTAGTTCAGTCAGGTAAAATAAAGGGTGACCCAGTCCACCTGTAAATCCATTCTTCGTGTGTGTGTGTGTGTGTGTGTGTGTGTGTGTTGTGTGTTTTGTTGTTGGGTTTTTTTTTGTGAGTGTGTGTGGTTTTTGTTTTTTTGTTTTTTTGGGTTTTTTTTTCAGTTCCTTTACTGAATGGAATAATCTCAACAACTGGGGGAATTCACAGTTTTTTCTCTTACTAGTATAGTAGGAATACACTGTCGTTTCCTCTCCCTATTAAAGTAGTAAGTCAAAGGCAATGCTACATCCCTAGGGGAATTTCAGATATTAAGGCCACTGCTTGGGGTCTCCCCGAAAGCTGTTTTTATTTGCTCAACACAACACTTTTTTTTTTTTTTACTTACTTTAAAGTTGTAAGACAACCACGTGCCTCAAAGAACTAAAGTATTCCCCAGGACCCAAGGGTGGATGCTAAGTCCAAATCTAAAGAATTCCGTACTCCTTGCATTAATTGGTTTAGAAAGGGAAATATGGTGCCACTGTGGGCGATGATATGTGAGAGAAAGTGGGGGGGCGGGCGGGGTTGAAAGTATCCCACCAAGTCTTGAAGAATGACAATGCACTGCTGCTTACAAGATCACATTGTGATTCGAGTTGCAACGCTGTTCAGCATATGCATGGGACAACATCTGCTGCCTCGGGTACCAGTATGCAGCTGTGGAGCCAGGAGAGCACATCAGAGGCTGCCTTCCAGTAAGCAGAGCACATCAGAGGCACTGCACTTTCCTTCGCCTGACGAAAACAGAGCGTCCAGTGACTTGAGATTGTTGATTAATTCCTTCTGAATTTCTGGACTTGCCCTGGTTCCTGTCCTTTCTTAGACTTGATTCTTTAGTTTTTATTTTTACTGTGTGGCTACTCCACAGCCCTTGCTTTGCTTAAATTGGATTTCATTTCTGTTCCTGACAAAGAACTCTAATAGATATCCCTTCCTACAAAACACACACACACACACACACACACACACACACACACACAAAAACACCTCATATTTCTTTCACAATTGCTTTTTCTTGTTTTAAATACAGTTCTACATATTTTATGTATAAATACTTATACATTTTATTTTTATATGTGTACCTGGTTTTGTTTTATGTCAGCAGTTGTCTTT